ACCCAAACTTGTAAATATACTGTAGCAGAAACGAAGACTTGTCACAGACCTGCATGAGTTGGGTGGCACTGTTGATTGCAGTCACATGGAAACCAGATTTCAACAAACTCCTGTTCATTGATGATAAACAAAGTTAGATACAGTTGTAGAATGATCTCCAAATCACACAAACAGATAGAGAGGGAAACAAAACTGGCTTGCTTGCAGAGCCTTCTCTTCCCTCCCTACGATAAGAGATATTATGGGACTATTTATGGGGATTCCAGTGAGAGCACGAAGGTCCTGCACCCAATTCCAAATTTCCCTTCTACGCCATGTTTCCTTTCCTGCCACAATAAGAGCAGCTGCATAGTTATATTTGTATTGTTAACAAAGGGAAAAACTTCAATAAAGATAAGAAAATAAATGCTATAATCATGGCATGTGAATAATGCATGATAAATTACAGCCACAGTAATGTAGAAGACTGCTCAATATTATGATATTGTTCCATTCCGTTTTGTGAACAATCATACATGGGGCTTACAATCCAAGCTCGAGCCGGCTCCTGAACTTGGCTCATTCGAGTGATTATTACATATGTTGGCTCTAAAAACCCATAATTTGACATAACATTCAGAACTAGCTTCTCTCCTAAACCGTGAATTCATCTGATACTTCCTACGGGATCTATACATTCTTGCCTATTACCACTCAGCCAGACTGCCAGTCCTTGCATACCAACATTTATTATAAATAAAGCACCGGAATCAGTGTAAAAGAAGCTTCTATATTAAAAAGTATCACATGTTTAAAAGGGATTATATTCAACTAAAGCACCTGTAACAAACAAAATTATATATTACCACGGGCAGCAGCAGAAATTGGTATTGGCGTAGCAGTTGAAAATATAAAAGACCGACCCCTTGATTGTATGAGTTGCTTCCACCTTTTGCTGTTTATATGGCAAGAACCCATTACAAAGAAAGAAATGGAACACACAAGAACCCATTATTTCAACACCTGAAGTATGAAGTTTTAAAACCAACTGCCACAGTTTTCCTTCCTTATTTTAGCATATTTCAGAGAAATTCAGGAATAGTGCACAGCATTTTCATTTCATATTTGCTAATTACTATAAACCTAACATTTACAAATTACAAAATCTGTTATTGTTACTAAGAAAAAAGATAGCATGAACACTTGCCTGCATGCTATGAATCCGCCATGGCAACCTGCAGCCTTACTCAAAGTCCCAACACATATGTCAACATCTCTTTCACAATTGTATTGCTCTGCCACTCCACCACCATTTTTACCACAAACAAATGTTCCATGAGCCTGAGTCAAAGAGAATACTTTCTTTTTATGACTAATACCTTATGCCTACATAAAAAGAAAACGAAAAAAATAGACCAACTTTTTCCTGTACTAAAGACATATTTATTCAATGAGGAGGACAAGTTGATTTTTGGGTGTAACTGGGGAATTCATTCAAAATATAATTAAGACAATCATTGATGTGTGTACAAGATTAACCTTAAAAAGGTTTCACAAGTTTTACTGTGGAATAACTCAAGAGGACTTACATCATCAATAACTAACAGAAAGCCATGCGCTTTGCGTAGCTTCACAAGCTCAATCATTGGTGCAAAGTCTCCGTCCATACTAAACAAGTTGTAGTGAAAGACAAAAACAATTCATAAGAAATATAACAAATAAAATCAATAGGAACACTTTATATGAATGTGTATATGATTCCAACTGAAATGATGGTACAGAAAGTAGCATTTAAAAATAGGAACACTTGCCTATCAGTCACGACGACTTTCTTCCTCATTGTGCAACTTGATCTGTCACAACACAAAATGCATTTCTAAGCTATGGACAGAAGGAAGTGCATATCCAATTAGAAGAGGGACACAAATTCAAAACAAAAAGTTTAAGACCTACAACAATGCATTAAGGTGAGTCATGTCGCAATGTCTATGGATGAATATCTATACAGATTTTTGTCGTTCAGCAAGGCGAATACCATCGATTATTGACGCATGGTTCAGTGCATCAGAAAAAAAGGGCAATTTTTTCATTAGTTAAAGGTGTTTTTCCAGCAGCCAAGAGAGAGCCAACATTTCCCATAGCTACCATCAACGCCATATTGGCTGCAAATCCTGTGGGACAAAGAAGGCAATCCTAGGGGATAAATTTGAAACAAGATTGCACCAGTTTTCAGGTTTGAGCTAAAAAACCTACATACCTCTTTCTTCTTTAAGTCTGCAATGCATGACTCGAGTCGCCTATGGTAATCGGTATATCCGCAGATTAAAGCAGAGCCCCTGTGGCCCATCCCATGTTCTAGGGCTGCCTGGTTGAATATAAATCCTTATTATTACATAGTAACTTAAAGATGCAGTCTTTACAAAAATTATGCAAAAAAGACAACCTTGGAAGCAGCTTTTCCAATGGTAGGATGTGAGCTCTAGCCCAAATAGTCATTCCCAGAGAATAGTAGAAGCTTTCTGAACTTATGGGTACCTTCCTCATCTCCTGTGAATTCCATAAACGTAATGTAAGTTCAAAACAGAGAAAATTCCACAAAAAGCAAATTGGAAAATAGTTGTTGAATTGAACCGTACCGGAATTGGGAATGTCGTGGAGCCATTTCTGGAACGTGGGTTCAGGAATGTGGACCTCCACAGAGGATCGGTCCCACGGCTGCATTTCATCGAACACATGGAATTCATCTTCGACGGGGTTTGGGCTTCATGGGTTGGTCCATTTTGGAGGTAAATGAGTCTGAGAGAACGGAGGAGTTGCAGGTGTTCAAGTTTCTGAAGAGCTTCTTCGACCCAATGATCCCACCACCTCAACATCTCAATGCAGCTCACTTCTGCAATTTGCATAGCAGAGAGAGAAGAAGCCGGTGGGCGTAGTTGGACTGTTGGAGCGTAACGCCTTGAGCAGAGTTACTCGGAAGAGGCACGGTTAACCACGTATGTCCTCAACTGCAAAAGGACCAATTTGCAATTTGGGAATAGTTTCGAATGAGAAAAGACAAGACACGTTGGGGTCAATTCGTGAATAAAGATAGATACGCAATGCCGTTTTTACCCTGCTAGATTACAATACCATTAAGGCCATTATTGATTTTTCACATCTCATTTGTGTTTTTTTTTTCGGTCAAAACATTTATTTTAATTTTTCATGTTTGGAATATATATGTATTTTTTTTCTTACAAATATTCATAAACAATCTCGGAAGACAAATTTCACAGTGATTACTCTACATATTCAAATTTCATCACTCATTTGCATTGATATAATTGACTATATCAATGCGTACATATTTTTTTTTCTTACAAACATTCATAAACAATACGTAAAGACAAATTTGACAGCAATCACTCTTGGACAGAAAATAAATAAAATATTATAATATTTAGTTGATGCCTCTAGTATTATTCTTAAGGTACATTAATTGATTCTTACTAGAGTTATCAACTTTTGGTATCCAAACCAATCAAATCCTAAGCCTTGCATAACCATTTGAGCCATAGATGCGAATTCTTGGAAATTGACAAAACGAGAGAGTGCAACAGTGATCCTCTCAATGTCGTCCCTTGTGTGCGTTACGCTCAGTGTTACTCGTAGCTTACATGACCAAAAAGAGTACAAAAAAAGATACAAGAATGTGCACAAACAAACAACATATTACAATTTCCGACCAAAAAAAAAAAACAACATATTACAATAGTATATAGATTTTCCTAAGTTTAATGAGTTAGGTTTCAATTTCCCCAGGGACAATCCAAACTGATAAATATTACTATAGCATAAAGGGGAATTGTGAGGAAAGATTGGACTCAGAAACCTGCATGAGTTGGGTGGCACTACTTGGTGTATGATACCAATTACATGGAAATTAGATTTCAACAAACTCATGTTCATTGATGGTAAACAAAGTTAGATGCAGTTGTAAAAATCATCTCCAAATCACACATACAAACAGCTAGAGAGCGAAACCAAACTGGGTGGCTTGTCTAGCTTTCTCCTCGCTGCCTACGATAAGAGATATTATGTAACTGTTTATGGGGATTCCGGTGAGAGCACGAAACTCTTGCACCTGATTCCAGATTGCCCTTCTACGCCATGATTCCTTTCTTGCCACAATTAGAGCAGCTGCAAAGTTTATATTTGTATTGTGAACAACATGAACCACCATAAAGAGAAAAAACAATCATACAATGTGAGGGAATGTAGTGTTAGAGAACCTGTATTACAATTCTATCATGTAGAATGGATGTTATTGTTCCATCAACTATAAGCACCTTAACCAAACAAAATTATACAAATAACCATGGGCGGCATCAGCAATTGGTACTGGTATGAGTTGCTTCCACTTGTTGCTGTTTATATGGCAAAAAGAAAATGCTTAACTTCCACATGCAAAGAGATCAAACATGCGATAATTCAATATCTCAACACCTCAAGTGTTAAGCTTTAAGAGGACTGGTGCATACATTTTCATTGTGTATATGTTACAACTATAAACTCAAAACTCGAAATAATTTAAAATTTATATTCTTGTTACAACTATAATACATGAATATTTGCCAGCAAGCAATGAATCCGCCATGGCAACCTGCAGCTTTACTCAAGGTGCCAACACATATGACATCTTTTCGCAATGGTATTCCTCAGCCATACCATAAATCCAAACCTGTTCCACATTACTAGTTAGACCTCCTCCCAAAGATGAAAACTTTCCAATGTCTTCTAACCCATGCTGATCAATGGATTTCATACGAACAACAGTCATAAAGTTCACCCTAATCTGGGATATAAGTATGACAATCTGCAAACACAAGAGAATGGAACCTCATATAATAGGTGACAATCAAGGCATGAAATCTAAATTCCTATTAAGATAAAAAGTAAAAGCTCGGGTATAGCCGGGCGGCTATACTATTTACGTAAAAAACAAAACAGAGTCGTTGGCCCGTTCGACGGTTCGATGTGATCCAACGAGAGAGGAGAAAGAGATGTGATCGACAGCAAGAGAAAAAGCTAGGCTCTCTCAGTCCTCGCTCGCTCCTCTCAAATGGGAACAAGCAAGGGAGTTTGGGAGCGATGGGAGCGCACACTCTTTGAACTCTGTTCCCATTTTACCACAACCCCACCAATTCCTTGCCTTTTTTTTTTTCTGGTAGCCTTTCAATTCTCTATTTTCCCATTTCGATTATTTGGATTTAGACTGATCTTATGGCATATAAATAGCGAGAATTTCGATTATTTGGTATGTAATCATATAGATGTCATTGAACTTCATAGAAATTCTATGTAGGAAAGTAAGTTTTCAAGCATTGGATATGGCATTTTATTTTCTTGGTAAAGTCTTTCCATAGCTTAGTTTTGAAACCTGGTATCAAATATACGGTATTCCCTCCTCCTGCTTCCCTCTTATCTCTATTTTACATTATGATTGGGATCAGGTAATTAAGAGTCATGAAGACCGTTGACCTCTTTGGGTCAATGATGTGCCTTCCACATAGTTAGCTTGATTTTTTATTGTTCCAATACTTAGTTGGATTTTATTGTACTTAGTGTTTGGGGTTGAGGATGTTCACAGGATTTTAGAGGACATCTTGTTCATCCCCTTTCTAACACTTTTATCATTAATAAAATCCATATTTGTTACCAAAAAAACCCAAAGAAAAAAAGGGCTTACTTTGAGGTTACTCTGCACCCTCACTCAACCCTGCCCGAAAGGCAGGCATATGCACTTCATATGACTTATGATCAATTGTGGATTTCTTTTTCCTTCATTAGGCAGATAGTGGTCATCACTGCAATGGGTGTAGCTTTTGCTGGTCTAATGGTATATAGAATAGTGATAGTTTGTATGTCTCACTCTTTTACATCATTTGCTTTGTACCACTGGGAAAATAGGATTGCAGCTCCAAATAACTAAACTTGATTCAAATAGGATTGCGACTCTTAACATGCATTCACCACACTAGCTTATTGTTTTATTTTGTCCCAACAAGGAAAGTTCAGACATACCGTCTTTTGATCATTGATGAATCATAGGCAGTTAGGATTTTGGCCTCTAAATGATTTAGTTGTCATTACTCTGTTGCTCTTTCCTTAATAACCTCTGGTTCTTATTTCTTCAAAATTATGATCACTATGCAGGTTATGATGAAGGCTTGAATATTTGACTGAGTAGGGGAAGAAAAAATTCTTACGCAAGTTCAAGTATCATTTAGTGCATATCTCACCACTCCCCTCAATGGGATCGAAACAAGATGTCAGGTCCCCTTATCAACCTTGAGGTATCAGTTCTGTTTTGTGGTTAATTTTATTATCATTAGTTTCAAGTAACTTTCAGTTGTCAGTGTGGGACAAAAATATTTTGCTGTATAATGTGCTGTTAGTGTACTTACTGTTACCTGAACAAGGCTCAATGAGTGAGCTATTGTGCATGTGAACACTGATCATATAGGTGCACAGGCACAAACATCATTTATCTTTCGTATCGTTTAGGGGTTTTTACAATCCTATTGCTGTTTTATCAATGAACCCTTGACTAGCATTTTGGTTCAATGTTGTCGCATAACAGAGTCTTGGGGACAAAATTGAGGGGCTATTGTCTGAAAATATACTCAGTAAAGTTTCCGTTGATTGTTATTTCAAACTGGCCTTTCAACATCTTCGCCAAGATGGGCAACTTCATGTGTAAATTCTATATAGCAATTTGCCTTTCAATCTGGTATATTTGATATGGGCCTCACATTCATGTGTAAACTTTGTATATGGTTGTATTACTCATTGGCTTACAGTTAAATGTGATAGCAAAAGGATTTTCTAATTTCGATGTATAATGTTTGTTGTGAACTTTAGGTCAATTAATGCCTGGATGCAATTCGTAGCCTATGGATGGAGGATGATGCACAGAGGATGTTCAAAGATAGCAGTCTTCTGGATTACACTTTATAATCCACAGCTTCAGCTCCTACTTTAACGGTTGCGGTATTTGTGAGAGACCATTTCAAAGGACTGAGAACAAGCAGGAAGTTGCTAGCAAGTTAGTAGAGAAAAAGGATCGCCTTCAGAATGGGTGGAGTGATAAAATTGCACTGAAATTTTTTTCTTATCCCATCAAGTTTGTTGAATTGATTGGGGCATTTCCATGTATCAAAGTAAATATTTTGGACGAGAATTTGTGAACTGTTTTCATGTAATATGTGTACATACATATAAAGATACTGAAAAGAAGGTTTTTGTGTTGCTTTGCTACTTTTCAGCTCGCAATATCCCCTAGTATCCGTGACCGGCGAAGATTAAAATTTTCTTCCGACATTTAGCGGC